TTTACGCCTACGTTTTGATAAATTAGACATTGAATTTTGCAATTACATTTTTATTTTAACATGGACTTTTGCTGCGTAGGGCACCCCATAGGAATGGGGCTTTAATTGTGGCGTTCTCATTTTAATTTCTATAGCTTCTTTTATTTTCCTTTTGAATGAATTAGTTTCATAGTTAGTACTTTGATTTTATTCCAATTATTGTTATGTTCAGTGATTGTACAATGTTCTGCTACCGCTGAAAGTATTTCCACACGTTGATTTAAATGTATATCTAATAATCTTCCGGTTTCTCCGATGTACGTTTTTCCGCACGTATCCCATTCAATTTCGTACACGACCCCGCACTGTTTTTTAACTGGGGTTGGGTCCTTGGGTTTGACCAATTGTGTCCGCAGTGTATTGAAAGGTTTATAGTAAGCTGTTACTCCGTTTCTTTTGTAAATTTTATTTAGGACTTCCGATGTTCCCTTGATGTATGGGAGAGCAATAAGAATTTTCTTTTCATTTTCATTAATTTCGTCTTTATCCGTTAATTTTACTTTTTGTGGGATTTTCTACATCCACTTAGAATTTGTTTGCCGCTAGTACTTTGTGTATGTGGTTAATTTTACTAATTTTGTCCTCTTTTTCGCTTATAACGTTTTCTGCTCGGTATAATAAAGAACGTAGCACTGACCTCTTGTGTTCTAGATGAAGGTTCGATTGAAAATTTAGATATTCGTCAGTGTGCGTAGGTTTTCTGTAGATCGTGACTTTTGCAGATGTGTCTGTGTTAACATGTGTGTATGTGTTCAAAAAGGGAAGTTTCATGTCTTGTTCCTGTTCCATAGTAAATTGAGTGTCTGGATCGATGCTGTTAATGTGGTCCGTAAATCCTTCAATTCGGTCTCGATGTAATTTCGTAAATGTGTCATCCACGTATCTATACCAAAACTCTGGGGGATGTGGTGTTGTGGTTAACGCCATGTATTCGAAGTTTCCATATAATTATGGGAGATACTGGTGATCCCATTGCTGTGCCTTTGGTTTGTAGGTAAAATTCTTCTTTGTAGGAGAAATATGTCGTGTTTAACACAAATGTTAAAAGTTTGATTATATGTGTTATCGGAAGTGACGTTCTACTTTCTAATGACGTGTCATGTTCTAATCTTTCTCGCGTAATATATGTATGGCTTTCATAGTTGGAATGTTGGTGAATAATGATTTAACGTCATGCGATATGAACTGGTACACCAGTAGGTATACCAGTAGCCTATATCTAGTAAAAAAGCCACTTATTTTTCATCAAAGCTTGTAAAATATATTTTGTAAAATTAAAAATTATTTTTGTTTTTTTAATTTGGTGTAGAGCGCATAGAGTGACCAGTGTTCCAGTGGGCGAAGCCACCGACAAATATGACAATTTAGAATGCTTATTTAATAATCGGTTTTGGGGTATACTAATATGTAAAAATAAATGTATATATGTTTTTCTCCCAGACGAATTGTGGTTTTTCTACCCGACGGGGGAGGTGGGGGAGCTCTCCCCAAAGGGGCCCTGGCGCCACACATGATTAGTAGTATATTTAATAAAGTATTCCACTATCTAATAATAACAAAATCACTTATTTTTCACCACACCTTGTTGTAATATATTTTTGTAACATTAATTTATGTTTCATTATTAGGTGTAGGCTCATAGCGGGGGCCGTGCTTTCTAAATGGAATTGTTATATCATTATAGTAAATATTGTAGGATTTACTGAAATAATAAATTCAATACATCCTCATAAACTGAAATAGTAATAGAGGTAATTTAGTAATTTCGCAACATCTAATACCTATGATACTGTATTATGAACAACACTGGACACCACCCTGGACCTTTTATTGGTCAAGCTTAACGCGTTGGTACTTTGTTTTTATACAGATATGAAAAACCCGTAGATAAAGTTGTATATCAAGTAGCTGAAGATGTACACGAGTATGCGATACATAACGCTGTTGTCCAAAACCAGAAAACCACAGCTGACGAGGTTGTGTATCAAAAATCAATAAGTAAGAATACTCTCTAGTTAGGATGAATGATGTAACATTAGCTCCAGAATGTCCTTATTCTACTCCACAGACTAGAGAGTTACTTGTTAATTTTGATTTTCTATTATATGTTTTATCTTTCCTTACCAGACATTGATAAAAGCAAAGGAACTGGAAACCAAAAAGGAATTGCAAATGCCATGGTTCGTGGTCAGACTCTCAATCATGCAGTTCCCAAACTATTTAGTCACATTAACCCAAGCCGCAGCCAGAAAGTGAACAGTTCACTGGACTATGTCGATATACCTTATAAGAACACTATTCGCGTTCCTGGGATTCGAGGAAGAGTGAAACAAAGTGAGTTTAAGTTTAGCGGGGATTACAGTGAAATTGATGCGTGTATGTCAAATGAGAACCAAAGCACAGAGCCAAATGATTATCTGCAGATAATTGGTTGAAACTAGTGGAATGCTTTACTCAGAATAATGTCTGGTGGCTGCTGAAAATGCGATCACCAGCGTTTAATGATTTGAAATATTTTCTGTAATATAGCTTGCTGTAGAACATTATGGACTCAATTGGGGCTATCGTTTAGATTAGGCCCCTATGTAGTCTAAATTTGGTTAATTTATCGGTTGTTTACTATATATAACACCACGTTTTACGTTGTAAGAAAAAATTCTTATTAATTTTTAGTTTCTTGCAAGAATTTATGAAAATGTATGAACATTTTATCACAAATTTCCATTTGTTCATTACTGGATAAACAAGACATTTTGTAGATTAAATAAAACTCACATAAACAATGATTATATAAGTGGTAGAGTGAAAAAATAAGTTATATAGTGTGTATAGATTTTATCTTTCTTTTTTTGGCATCAATAATAACATAGCGCTGAACGCCAACAAGGCCTCTAAGCGCTTAACATTAGGCCTATTACCACCCCCCCCCCCCCCCCCCCTCACTGGATTAAACGCCTATGGAACACAAACTCAAGCTCCCTGGGGGAGTATTCTATAACGTTGCAGCAGCTACATCAGCGCATTCTGGCATTTGACCCTATCAGGTACGGTACCCATTTATACTCCTGGGCGGAGAGAAGCAATGCAGATAAAGTGCCTTGCGAGAACATAAATGGAACAAGTGGAGGTTGGTAAACCTTTAACCAAGCCGTTCCCACTGCGCTAAATCAATTAGAGGAAGACTTGGGATGTAAAACCATTTGGTCCCTTGTAAATTATTAAGTCCAAAAATACAACCAAATAGAGTTGATAATAAGGAATCTAAAATCTAAAATCGAAGGAATACCGTAAAACCTCAAATAGAAGCCCGATGGACTTCATCTCGAAAAAAGCCCATCGCGAATTGAAGTCTCTCTGTTGTTTGCAAAAGTGGCCCTATTTATTGCTTTATAATTGTAAATTATAAACATTCATTTTGAAAAAAACACCTATCTTTACTTTGCAAAAGAAGCCCATCTCAAAAAGAAGCCCATCTCGGAAAGACGCCCGATTCGAAAAGAAGCCCATTCAAAGTTCGCAAAGAAAAAAAAAAGAGGCCAAGGGCTTCAATTCGAGGTTTTATCGTATGCATTTCACCGAAGTCAACAAACAGTAATTTAGTCAAACTTGTATTTTTTAATGGTAATGGTATAAATTTGCTGTTAATATTAAAGGTATTAGATAAGCGTGTTAGTTGAAATTACTAGTTGATAAATTTTTTCAAACATTTCTAATTTTTAATGGTGTACAGTATATACAAAGAAGTAACATTACATAGTTTAATTGATTACTGGAATTTATTAAAAAAAATAATATGCTATCGTTAACATATTGGCAGATTCTGATTATTTATTCATCTATTTTGTTTAAGCTAGCTTGTGTACTCTGTACGTCATGTACTTGTACTGGTATTTATTTTGTATTTCATATGGACAATGTCTGAAATAAAAGTGAATGAATGAATGCATAAATGAATTATTACGTTACAATTATTTACGTTACAATGTTGCTTAGTAGAGTTACTTTTATAATAAATAAGGATAATATGTGAGCAGTGTTCACACAAATATTTATATATTTTTTAAAATGAAGAAGGTAACGGTAACAACCCCACTCCTTAAGCCTCAAAGTAACTTATGAAGAGCCACGGTATTCAATCCCCGGCCCCACGGGCCAACTTCGAACCGCCGACGATTTTGATCCAGCAATGAGCATGACTTCGTAATTTACATTAAAATATCTAAAGTAGGCCTAATAGAAACATTGAAAACCCAATTAGCTTTCGAGTTAAATGTAAAAGTATCTGAGTATATGAATAGTGCCCTATGATTGTCCAGACGAGGAGGGTATACTGAGACATGTGTGGAAGTGGGTGGGTGGAATCTAGACCTTCTTGAATGTAATTTTCTACTCTGGGGAAAGGGAGACCTGGGATGTAAAACCACTTATCTGTAACATCATTAACACATGTATACAATATATAAATATATCAAATTGATGTAGTTGAGGATGACACACGACGTATGTCTCGATGGTGTAGTATAAAATCGTAGTTGTTAAAACAAACACCGGACACTTTACATAATTTGAGACATGATTTTATTCAACATACATACATAGTAAGAATTTTATGTTGTAAATTACCGTATACAATTATAATTGTATAGCATACTCGGTAAAGGTTTCACAATTGTAGTATGTTTCCTTGTACAGGACATAGAGTAGTTTTCATTCAGACTGGCCCCGGATGCCATGCTCAAATCCATGGTAGGTTATTATGCTGTGCAGCCTTTCCGTTTTATATGAAGTATGTTAATGTACCGTACTATTTAATTGATTTAACAAATAGTTTCTTGGAATATTTTAGGAAATTTACTATTAGTTCAAGGCTAATTTCATGTTAAACATCACACTCATGCAACGTCATTAGAGTTCAACCGACATTAAAACTGTCTAGATCTACGACAGTCCTAATCCACCACTAGAGACACCGGCATAGTGCGTTAAAAACCCTCCTGCTCTACTATCAATATTCCTCTTACTAACGCAGTATGCAACAATGGGGAAAATTTATCATTGTCGTCGCTTGGAAGATGGCAATAGTTGGCGCACAGTGTCCTTCGTAAGTTATTTTATTAATTTTTTTTCATTCATTCATTTGATGATGAAAGCAATGTTGCTTTTTGCGTTTGTTTAGACTCACAATCCATACATTCCTTGTTAATTGTTTTATGCTCCCATAGAACATAAAAAAATTTCAATGAAAAAAAAAATTGACATCACATACGATTTTGAGCAAAGCTAGACAAAGAAAGTGCTATAACATGAAATGTGCACGTGCAGTCATGGAGAAAATATGGCGTGAACATTTCATGAGGTAGGACTATTATTGGTTGTAATGTTATGGGTTCATGTACCCTTCTGATCCGTATCAAACAATTTTCCTCACAACAAGAAAGGCTCTATTGCTTTTATAGCTTTCTAAAATATAATTAATTATTTTTCAGTGAATTTGATTGTCCAAAAAATGCGCCATGGTGTTACTTGATATACCCAACAAGCAACGATGGTTGGAAATACAAAGATCCGCATGGAGTCACTTATGACGCAAGTAAGCATTATACATTTTGTAAAAACAATGATTGAATGAAAAATAATTTACCACTAGCCTGGAAAAAATGATGAGGAAGGGAGGCTTTTTATTTTATTTTTTAATCTGCAAGCCAAATATTACCTTTACCACATACATTTCACAAGAACTGTAAAGCAATAGTCTGCCTGCTATGTTTGTCAACACCAAACCCTAAAAGTATCCGAGTCCGATTTGCTAAACTTTAAGACCAAGATCCTAAACGACCACGACCTTTAGACAGGCTTGGTTAGTAAACAGCCCATTTGGCAAATTAAAATTACTGACAATAATCGTCGACTCCGCCTCCTTAAGTCAATATCCTAATTTTCACGGAACTCCATCTCCCGCGGGGGGGGGGGGGGTTCGGACCCCCTAACCCCCCTAAATACGGGCCTGAACATCGTTAACAATATATGTACATAATTATACACATGTATACAATATATAAATATATCAAATTGATGTAGTTAAGGATGTCACACGTATGTCTCGATGGCGTAGTATAAAATCGTAGTTGCTAAAACAAACACTGGACATTTGCCATAATTTGATACATGATTTTATTCAACAAAACTGTCGGCAAAACCATACATATTTAGAATTTTATGTTGTAAATTACCGTATACAATTATAACTGTATAGCATACTCGGTAAAGATTTCACAATTGTAGTATGTTTCTTTGTAAAGAATATAGAGTGTTTTCATTAAGACTGGCCCCGGATGCCATGCTCAGAACCATGGTTATTATACTGTAGAGCCTTTCCGTTTTATATGAAGTATGTTAATGTACTATTTAATTGATTTAACAAATAGTTTCTTGGAATATTTCAGGAAATTTACTATCAGTTTAAGGCTAATTTCATGTTAAACATCACACTCATGCAACGTCATTAGAGTTCAACCGACATTAAAACTGTCTAGATCTACGACAGTCCTAACCCACCACTAGAGACACCGGCATAGTGCGTTAAAAACCCTCCTGCTCTAATATCAATATTCCTCTTACTAACGCAGTATGCAACAATGGGGAAAATTTATCATTGTCGTCGCTTGGAAGATGGCAATAGTTGGCGCACAGTGTCCTTCGTAAGTTATTTTATTAATCTTTTTTCTTTCATTCATTTGATGATGAAAGCAATGTTGCTTTTTGCGTTTGTTTAGACTCACAATCCATACATTCCTTGTTAATTGTTTTATGCTCCCATAGAACATAAAAAAATTTCAATGAAAAAAAATTGACATCACATACGATTTTGAGCAAAGCTAGACAAAGAAAGTGCTATAACATGAAATGTGCACGTGCAATCATGGAGAAAATATGGCGTGAACATTTCATGAGGTAGGACTATTATTGGCTGTAATGTTATGGGTTCATGTACCCTTCTGATCCGTATCAAACAATTTTCCTCACAACAAGAAAGGCTCTATTGCTTTTATAGCTTTCTAAAATATAATTAATTATTTTTCAGTGAATTTGATTGTCCAAAAAATGCGCCATGGTGTTACTTGATATACCCAACAAGCAACGATGGTTGGAAATACAAAGATCCGCATGGAGTCACTTATGACGCAAGTAAGCATTATACATTTTGTAAAAACAATGATTGAATGAAAAATAATTTACCACTAGCCTGGAAAAAATTATGAGGAAGGGAGGCTTTTTATTTTATTTTTTAATCTGCAAGCCAAATATTACCTTTACCACATACATTTCACAAGAACTGTAAAGCAATAGTCTGCCTGCTATGTTTGTCAACACCAAACCCTAAAAGTATCCGAGTCCGATTTGCTAAACTTTAAGACCAAGATCCTAAACGACCACGACCTTTAGACAGGCTTGGTTAGTAAACAGCCCATTTGGCAAATTAAAATTACTGACAATAATCGTCGACTCCGCCTCCTTAAGTCAATATTATGGATTTAAAAAAATATAGTTTACGCCCAATAAAAAGGGAATTATTAGTTCTAACCCAATCTAGGCTGGAAAAGTGATGAGAAACGGAGGCTTTTTATTTTATTTTTTAATCTGCTAAAGCCAAATATCGCCTTTGGGTTGTTTGATGGTGCTTTGATATTCAAACTACATATGATTGACATAATAAAACAATATTTACTATTTACTAAAATAAATTTAAACAAAATTAAAACAAAACCTTTTTTTTGTGAAAGTTTTTTTTAGTACCATAGAAGACATGCGTGTCAGGGGTGGTAAACTAATGGTCTTTTTTTATTTGGCCTTATATGGATTGCAATTAAAAGTTTTTTATCTTTCGTATTTCATATATCCCACCACAACATATAATTATTTTGCGTCTATTTTTACATTTAAATAATAAATTCAAATAAAATATAATAATTTTCATGTTTTAAAAATGTTTGCAGGCAATAATGTTTATGAATCACCGAACTGCTACGAATTCATAGCAGTAGATGAAAAAGAAGGCACGAGATCATGTATTGATGCTCAGCAGGAATGCGAACAATTAGGCGGAAACATCACCGTAATAAACAGCATCGACGAGTGTGAGCAGTTGACAAACAACGTACTCCATATTCTAAGTATCAGAGAAGATAATACATCCAGTGTTCATGTCAAAAACCTCCCGAATGATATTAGTATGGGTTGCACAACGATTATGATTGAAGACGGATATACAATTAATGCTATAAACATTATAAATAGTGATAATACCACAACTAACACTATCGTTTGCGAATCCACGGGTAAGTAGCTATAGTCGCAGGTGGGATTGGGTCGGGTTTTTGGAATGGATAGGTTGAGACGACCTTTATTTCTCATAATTGGTATCTAAATTATTCTAGGATTTAACCGCTACAAATAAATTATATACATTATTACAGATTTTTGCCCGATATAAAATCGAAAAATATACAAATCATCAATGGTTTTCCCCAGAGATTCATCGACTTTAGGCTTACGGTTCCCGGAGCATATGAAATCTTTTTTGCTACTTTTTATTATTTGCTGGATTAGCTATCACGAAAGCAGCGAACTTAGGTCACATCAACCCTGCTGTACAGGTAATTATTAGGATCGACTAATTAAAAACATTTGGTTTCTTTAATTTTCATTATGGGGTTAAAATACTAAAAAAAATCAATTTGCACAGTAACTATTTTTTTGTTAAAACTTGTAGTTGAACACATATTTAACAATACACATAGTACAATGTAAAGTGAACAAATGTTAAGATCTTTCTTCCCCTAGTTGGCGGGATTGTCTTAGTCCTACGCTACACCCCTACGGAAATTTTCAAACGGTCCAGACTATAAATTGCATTTCTTTTTTGCAGAAATAATAGGCTAAATGCTGCAAGTAACTTGTTCTAGGACATTTGTTTTTTAATAAAGGTAATAAAAACATAAACAATCCAACTGATAACTGAATTAGGCCAAATTACACGAAGAAAGAAGTATGTTTGTGTGTATATGTATGTTTGTATATGTAAATGTATGTATATGTATATATATATATATATGTATATATACTAGATATACATTTATTATTATTAATTTTTTTTCTTTTTGTCTTGGGGTAAAATAGAGACAATCTTTGCTTCTATTTTTTATCCTAATTAAATAATTTTAGTGTTGTCCTTTTATTTATCAATTTATGTATTTTGAATAATTAATTGAATAAATGTTAATTGAATTGAATTGAATTGAATTGAAAGCACTGCGAACATAAGTCAAGCAAACAGAAATGTGACGTCATACCAATGAATCGGACTATCACGCTTACGAGATGTTTTGACCCCATAAGAGCCAATCGTGGATTGGATGGTTTTTATATTTACTTATTTTCCGATAAAACTACCCAACCAATCATACTAAGTTTTATATCAGCTTCAAGCTTATTATATTCCCTCCACGATTCCAGAGAGTTAGAACGTGCTCGGAACAGCCAAAAACCTCAAATTTCTTGAAATTCCCTATCTAAATCGGCGTGAGGAGCTGTTATATATCGGCGTTTTCCGACAAGACTGTAGATTTTTTTTCATTTCTTCACGAATTGGTAGATTAATATTTTTACAACATAATCCGCTTATGCCATTACAAGAAAATCAGATATTTTGTACCAGATATGTACTTTTATGAAAAAATCCAGTTTTCTCCAATGGTTAAGGCGACATTGGAAAGTAAATGATACAACGTTTCCATATAAGGTCCAAGATCTCGAAAAGAGGGAGTCCACATTCAGTAGTTGAGAAGCAAATATTAATATAGTAGGCACCTCCTGATTCCCGAAAATGCTTGTTCAAATTAGTGTTCACCGACAAAATAATTAGATTCCTTCTCGAATGGGAGTTGGGCTCTGTTCCTCCTGGACACCCTGTTGGCGCTGCCATTGATAAAAACCATAGCGGCATTATAAAAATTAATTTCATAACATAGGCCTAATAGAGCCGATGATGTTTACAGGATTGAATAATAAAAAGTTCATATAAATAGATGAAGTTTGAACATACAAAAATTATTGACATAGAAAACGGTCAAAGAGGACCATAAAAATTACAGTACTGTACTAAAAATTATTAACATTAGACTAAACTTTTGTTGGTCAAGCTTAACGCGTTTGTACTTTACTTTTATACAGACATGACAAAGTTGGATATAAGGAATATGTAGCTGAAGGTGTAAGCGAGTATGCTGTTGTCCAATACCACAAAACCACAACTGACGAGGTTGTGTACCAAGATATCACTGAATACCTGTACCATAATACCGCAGCAGGTAAGGTGGTGTACGACGATAGCGCAGTGGATGTGGCATACCAGAATTCAGGTAGGGTAAAAAGGGGTTTTGGGAACAGGATTTAAAAAATGCAAGAATCTTTTTACAATTTTGTTACTCTAATAACTGAAAATGTGATGCGATGTGCTTTATTGCTGTCTCTTATACACATCTATATTGAATAATAGGTAAACATTGTTTGATAGCCTAAACGAAACTGGTGAAGGCTGGTGGAGGAGGTAATCAAGTAAGAACTGTAATCAAGTAAACCACAGGCAACTTGCTTGCTTCTGTTGTTTACGTGTTACTAGAGCTTGTCTCTAATATTGAATGAAAAAGTTTAGTTTCAATTATGATTGCCATGTAGGCCTAATAGACCAGATAAAACTGCACATGCCTATCATTATTGTGTGCTTTAAGGGTATTGGTACATCTCTGAGATTTTACTCACTTTTACATGAACTTCTCTTTTGTATCTTTCATGTAAACCACCTTATTTCAGGTAAATTACCAAATTTAACAACAACCAAACCAGAAATGAAAGCGGGTCCTAACTTGTGGATTGTTGCTGTTATAGCGTCAAGTGTCGTGGTCACAATAGCAACCATTTTGTTAAGTTTAGTACTTATGCGACGCAGACAGAGAAGAAAATTAGGGTAAATGCTAATACATTTGAATATTACATTATAACGCTCAATATAATGATAATTAATGGTTACGATTATGAGTGATATGATAATGATTAAAATTACCATTATCAATATCACTGTCATTATCTTTTTTATCGTCATCGTCATCATCATCATCATCATCATCATCATCATCATCAACATTGTCATTATCATCATCGTTCTGATTATCATCATCATCTTTATTATATGTAATATTATTACTATAAATAATATATTATTATCAGTATTATTATCAATGTATTGCCATCATTAAAATTATTTATATTATCTTAATAATAATAATAATAATAATTATTATTATTATTATTATTATCATTATTATTATTCATAGTAAATTAGCAATATTATGTTTATTTTTTTTTTCATTTCATGAAAATCCAAAGTGACCAAAGTTACTATTTACAGGATTGAATAATAAAAAGTTCATATAAATAGATGAAGTTTGAACATACAAAAATTATTGACATAGAAAACGGTCAAAGAGGACCATAAAAATTACAGTACTGTACTAAAAATTATTAACATTAGACTAAACTTTTGTTGGTCAAGCTTAACGCGTTTGTACTTTACTTTTATACAGACATGACAAAGTTGGATATAAGGAATATGTAGCTGAAGGTGTAAGCGAGTATGCTGTTGTCCAATACCACAAAACCACAACTGACGAGGTTGTGTACCAAGATATCACTGAATACCTGTACCATAATACCGCAGCAGGTAAGGTGGTGTACGACGATAGCGCAGTGGATGTGGCATACCAGAATTCAGGTAGGGTAAAAAGGGGTTTTGGGAACAGGATTTAAAAAATGCAAGAATCTTTTTACAATTTTGTTACTCTAATAACTGAAAATGTGATGCGATGTGCTTTATTGATAGTCCACAATTAATATAAATATTATAAAATTGACTTTACTAAATTTTCCCCGGAAATTTGGTGGGTTATCCTTGGAGTTATTCACCCAAGTAATCCTACTCCTACTTCTTAAATTAGAGAGTTATTCATTTTGATATTCTATTATATTGTTTATCTACCAGACGTTGACAAAAGCAAACGAACTGGAAAGCGAAAAGGAATTACACATGTTACAGTTGGTGGCCAGCCTTCTGCACCATTCAATTCTCAACCATTAAGCCAGAACGACTTAGACCGCCATCAGAAAGTGACCAGTTCACCAGACTGTGTCGATATATTTTATGAAAATAGTATTCGCGCTCCCGGAAGTCAAGAGTTTCAGTTTAACGAGGATTACAGTGAAATTGATGCCAAGTGAGAACAAAAGCACAGAACCAAATAATTGATTGAAATCAACGGAATATTTTGCTGAAAACGCGATCACTAGCGTTTAATGATTGGAAATTATATTTACTGTATTTTTTTGAAAGCTTGCTATAGAACAATAGACTCAAGACTATCGTATTTAGGCTATGTTATTTGGTTAATTTATTGGTTGTTTAATTAAATATAAAACTAAGTTTTAAGTTTTATTACTTCATTGTAGCATAGACCTAAATAAAACATATATTGTAAATAAACCCCTTAAACAATAACAGAAGAATCAAAAACATTTAAAAAGTAGTAGAATTTTTAAAATATATGAGTTTGCGTATAATTGTGCATGGATAGGCCTTTTACGGACAAACCGTTAGTGATTTAGTCAAATTTGTATCTCACTGGTAATGGTATAAAGTTTATTAATATTAAAATTATTAGTTAATCCTGTTAGAATTACTAGTTGATGCATTTTCCAAACATTTCTAATTTGTATAGAAAAGTACACAATCATTACATGTTATGTTTGTTTTTGTTCATGTAAAGCGCAGAGAGGCAAATTTCTTGAATTTCGCGCTATATAAAGCCCAACTCAGACAGCGTCGGCCGACGCAGCCCGACGCGATTTGTTATCACGTCGGGTCTGTGTGAGTTGAACGCAGACGCGATGGTGTGCGTCGGGAACAGTCGCGTAGTAGAATATTTAACGTGTTTAATATTTTTCACGACGGCTTAAGACTGTCCCCGACGATAAATCGGGTCGGGCTGCGTCGGCCGACGCTGTCTGAGTTAAGACTTACATTTATATTAATAGATTACTGAAATGTGTATAAACAATAGTAGGCTATAATTGACATATATCAATTATGTTACGATTTGTCATACAGGCAGATACCTTACAAATGTTAGTTAGTAGAATTACTGTTATTTTAGTCTAATATGTGAGCAGCGTTGATAAAAATATTTGTACTGTTTGAAAATAAAAAATGGGAACAAAATGTTTACTCACAAAAAAATCGACTCTTAACGCCCTAACTTAGTTTATGTAGAGCCACTTTTGGAATTTGTATATCCTTGGCCCTTGCGTCTAAAACAAATAAATAAAAATTAATGAAGTTTTTAACTTGACAAATAGTTTGTTAATTTAAAGTCATTGGATACGAGAGACATTGATTAAGTGTAATATATTTGTATTAAACATTATAATTTTTACTGTTGCAGAACTGTTTTAATCGTTAATAAACCAATGGATGTAATAAACTTTTATTCATTCCACCACCTATGGTACACTACCGAAACCAAGAAGGCAGTGCCTTAAATTAATGCCTTAAATAAACATTCAACGGATACAAACATGGTCCTTAACTCGCCTAATTCTCCTCAGAGGTTTATTCTAGGAGCTGAGCGTTTTTGTTTTTAAAAATAACAAGAGGCAGCAGGAACCATACCAATTAGCCAAACGCTCAGCTCGTTAAATTGTTAAATTACTGTGAGCTTTAAAACAATTCTGCAACAGTAATAAGCAATCCAGATGAAACTATTCGACTATTTATGAATTTTAAAATTTCAAGTTCATGTTCCTTTCTTAACGCAATATTATGGCTTACAGCGACCTGATTTTATCTGATAAGTTTCCATGACAACCGGAATATTATTAAGGTAATAATGTTCAATGCTAACTCACCAATTCCTTCTACATAGTATATTTGTTAAATAAATATGCCTACATGTTTATTCAGTGAAACTTTCGACAGCACAATACATATATCTAGAAGTTTGTGTTGTTAATTACCGTATGCAGTTATAACATATAACATACTCGGCAGAGATTTACACAATTGTCAGCATATTTCGTTGTACAGGACATTGAGTAGTCTTCATTCGGACTAGCCCCGGATGCGCAAAACCAATGGTAGGCTATAATATACTGCAGATTCTTTCCGGTGCATATCAAGCATGTACGGTGCGCTATTTAATTGATTTTAACAAATAGTTCCTTAAAGGTTATCAGGACACTTTCTGCTGTCCATTTTATACTAATTTTATTTGTAAACATCGTACTCATAAATCACACATCATCATGTTTATTATTTACTTGCTTTCTTCTTTAAAATGTTTAAAATTATATTGTAAAGAGTGAACATAAAGATTATAACGTCACACGTCATCATATTTATTATTTATTTGCTTTCTTTTTTAAAATGGGTGACCTGTCAAGATTGCGATTTCTGTGTAATAATGAAATTTTATGCCTATATGTTTACACAACTTTTCAACGTGAATAGATAAAGTTATAGTGGGATCAAATTATGCACCAAGGTACTGAAAGCCATCAACAGGTTGAATGTCAGAGTCTCCAACTTTGATCTCAAGAGCGACTGTACCAATACGTTTTTGATTAGAACTAAAAAGAAGTGATTTACTTTTTGTTCTCTTATCTTTAATGTTTCTTCTTTCACATGCATTTACGTTGTAATAAAATTAGGCCTATATAGTAATATTATATATTCATTATATATTTTACATATTATGTAAAAAGTTGCATATAATTAAAATCATGAATAATTTAAAACATAGTAGTATATTGCTTATTTATACACAATAAAATACTTTTAAAATTAATGTAAAGACTACTACACACATTGCATACTCAGAAATGTATAATAGTAAAAATTCCAATTTATATAATATTTTCCTATGGTTTAAATGTACAAATATTAGGAAAACAAATCTAAAAATGATTAAAAGATATATAGTTTTAAATATAGCTCGGGTAGAGAGGCTATAGACCCACGGGAGGACTTATAATTTGCCTCCCTTTTCATTTAGACCGTATGAATATGAGATGCATAGAGATGTTACAGCTTGAAAAACAAATTTAGAATACAGCATGGATTTAATGATATAAATTTAATGAAAACCGTGCAAGTCCAAAAAAAACAAAAAAAAAAAAACACCTTGGCTCTGTGCGTATGTGAGACGCTTCATATCCAAGAATTACCGTATACAGTACATCCATATACAAATGTACATATATACACAAATTACACACACACCCACCCACCCATATATATATATATATATATATATATATATATATATATATATAGGTA